AAGGGAAAAAAAAAAAAAAAAAGATACAGAAACAAACCTTGGAGGCGTACGAAGTAGCTTCAGAGAAAGCTCTCACAAGAGGCATCACTGCAATCACAATTTTACAAACCGTTAAGCGAAAGTAATATAATAACAATTTCAACTGATAATCATATGATAATGCATGACATTTTGTAGCATTTATTTATGATTGTAAAAAACCTTTAGGATCGCCTTGATGCTTGGAGAGATAAGGCTCGAATTTGAGGGCGAGGTATTGAATCTTCAATTGGAGATTCGCGATTTCTGTAATGTCTTTAGCGATTTCAACAACAGTTGAAGTCGTTTCGGTGTTGTAGAGGAACTCGCCGTCGCCGTCGCCGTCGCCGTATTTCACGTGTACGCGAACCATCTCGAAGCCCTTGGCAAGTGATTTGTATGCTCAATTGTCGTTTGGAACTGTTTTAAAATTGGAAAACGTAAGGAAAATTGGAAAATGGAGGAAGTTCTTTTTCTTCTAACCCAATTCGTTTCAATTTATATACTTGTAAAACTTTTCACTCCAGATGCTTGACACACTACTTTTTCATGAGTACTATTTTCACAATTTTTAAAATTTTAGCCTCATTAACTAATTCAACTTTGAGCTTTGACATGGTTTCTTTTAAAATTAAATTTGCAACTATTTCTTTAATATTTTTTCTTATGTCACTAATATAGTATATATAATAAGTTAAATCACTATTTTAAATTCCGCGTCTAATAAAATGTGGTTATATGAAACAAAAATATTAGATTTTTTTTTTGTTAATACTCTAAAACCTCTTTAATTATTAACCTTTTGTGAGTTATCTACTTAAATTATAGGGTGTCCACAAAATCTCCTAAATTATTTTTTCCTTCATATTAAAACTTCCATTATTGCTTATCTGACATAATGTGTGTAATAACTTGCCAAAAAGCACGTGAAAACTGAAAAAACCCATCAAAATGACCCACCTGTGTGTAATGGCTAATTAGCCATACACCTTTTTAAAATTTACTTTTTTCAAAAAAAAAAAATTCTCCTCATTTGCTTCATTATTTTTACCCTCCTCCTCCTCCTCCTCCTCCTCCTTCTTCTTCTTCTTTCTCCTTTCCTCTTCCGTTTTTCATATAGAATTCATCTGAAATATTTCACCCCTCTTATTCCTCTAATTTTTTTTGTTTTATTTTAGTCTTATTTTATTTCTTACCCTTATTATTGAACTAACACCTACTTAATTTTTTTTATTAAACCCAACACTTTATAGAGAATAAAGTTAATCTCTTGGACTTTGTTTATGTAATCTAGAATTAAAATATGTAGTTACTGACCAATTGTTTTCTTGTTTATGAAATGTTAATTTGTATAAACTTGTGTGTGTAATACAAGAGATTTCTTTTAGAAATGCAATACTAATGCCTTCATTTTTTTTGGCGCAAAGTGAATATAAACAACTTCCATTACCTCACTAAAAAACTTCCATTACCTCAAAACTCATCCCAGTTTTCACTATGTCCTCCACTCTCAGTGGGACTCTCATCCTCCCAAAACTACTGGACATCTCAATATCTGCTCTAACTGCATCTCCACAATCTACTAAATTCTCCTTTAAAGACAAACTTCTAGCAACTGAACACAAAGAATTTATTTCCTTTTTTTTTTCTTTTTTTTTTTAAAATTCAATCCATCCACCCAGGATTTCATCTCCTGTGGTGGGGAGAGGTTTGGCCTAGACCCCTACCTTGTATATTAATAACTCAAAGAAAAATTAGTACAACAAGGAGGGGGACATAAAAACTAACCTCCATAGAACCTAGTTAATCTAAACTAACTAGGAACAATGCTAGAGCATAACCAACATCAGAGAACTTTTTTTTTAGCAAAGCCAACTTCCTATAGGAGTGTTGGCAGTGCAGAAACAAAAGGCATGACTACTTGGTGAATCAGAACATGTCTCGAAGAAAATATGAAAGATGTTCAAGGAGGATCAAAGTACCACCCTGAGTGTTTGGCTGCTCTTATCCTGAAGGAAGGGAGTCCCAATTTGTCCATTTTAAGTGCTTCTTTAGCTTCCCTGGGTAAGTCATTCTCTTAGAGATAGACTTTATTTTGGCATAGTGTTGTGGCATATTTTGCAAGTGAATCAGCCACCTCATTTCATTCTCTGTAACAGTGATGGACTTGAATTTGTTTTTCCCTGATTTTGTGTTGGATTTTCTCTACTTCATTGTACAAGTGCCATGGGGGATTGAGCTTGCCATTGATCATATTGACAAGTAGTTGTGAGTCAAGTTAAAGGCACAAGATATCTATGTGATGTGCATAGCACCAATTAATTCCAAGCAAGGTTGCATAGGTCTCACTATAATTGTTAGTTGAGAATTGGAGAGGTATAGCAAATGCCATGACCATCTCTCCATTTCTTCTCCTAAAAACTCCTCCTGCACCAGCTTTGCCCACCCTAGCTATGTAGCTCCAGTCAGTGTGAAGAGAGAATATTGCAGTCTTGCAGAGAGTGTCATTCCACTTTACAAGTTTGCTAATAAGATTAGGCTTGTAATCGATGGCAATTTTACATATCATGTCCCAGTTCCACTTGGATTCCATTCTACTGAACCTTTTTCCCAGAGATACCTTTACTTGGAAGGTAACCTGGTGCCAAATTCTTGTCAGTGATGTAGCCTATTTGTCATATTTTTTAGAGTATCTAGCTTTTCACAACTCCCAACATACAATAATATGGGCAATTTGTAAAAGCATCCTATGAGCCCCGTTGTTAGGCTTGAGCTTTCACCATTTATTAAGAGTTTTATGGATACTCACTAGTGTGATATCAATACCCAAAGGACTAGCAATTCTTCTCCATGTATTAGAATCTATGTAACTCTAAATAAAAACATGGTTAGCAGTCTCCTCCTTGGCTTCTCTACAGTAAACACATCCAGTAGCTATGTTGAGTCCAAATCTATATAAATGTTCCTCAATGTATTAGGATCCTCTACATCAAGAATGAGACTTTGAATGGTACTTCATTACTCCATAGCTTAGCAAGTTGTGGGTTCTTGTTCTTTTTTTGTCTAAATGCTTTAAAGGCAGAGGAGCATGAGAAGTGGGCATTAGGATTCAAGCACCAAAGAGCTGTATCTTCCTTATTTCTAATGTCCACCTTTAAAACCTCTTCAGTGATGTGATCCGGGAGAGCTCTCCTGAGTGCATTTGAATTCTAGTTTTTGTCAAAAATGAAATCTTTGACTTTTGTGTTCCCAGGTTCCTAGGTTGGATATTGTGTTGGACTAGGGGTCCTGATCTAAGCCAGTTATCCCACCAGAAAAGAACATGTCCCTTTCCTAGTTTTCACATGATATTGAAATCAATCATCTTCCTGGTGTCTAGTAAATTCCTCCAAATATTGGAACCTTTGGAGTTTTTCTGTTTTGATAGTATGTTGGACCTAGGATAATATTTTGTCAAGAGAAATTTTATCCATATGTTCTTTTCAGTTCTGAGTCTCCATCATCTCTTAGAAGAGAATGAAGAGCATATGTCTTACAATTTCTTGAATCCAACCCCACTTTCCTCATATGGGTAGCACATCTTATCCTAGGAACTCCAGTGATAATTTTTCTTTCTTTCTTTCATACCCCAGAAGAAATTAGAAAAATAAGATTCTATTTGGTTGAGGATAGTTTTTGGAGGGACCATGGCAGTTAGCAAATGTAGAGTCTGAGATTGTAGAATGTGTTTGATATTTAGATATTAATTTGCCCTGCCAAGCATTTGCTTTATTCAGGACTTTAGTCGCCATATTCGCAAAATATGCAATTTTCTTCCTCCCTGTGTATATTGGACAACCCAAATATATGAAGGGGAATTGAGAATGCTTGTATCCAGTCCACCTCTCTAACCTTCTGATAGTTCTTCTGTTTTGAAGTCCATAGGTTCAGAAGTTAGTTTTCTGCTTGTTTATCTCCCGTCCTTATGCATTTTGATAGTCCTTAAGCACCCTCATGACCATCTTGATTGAGTTTTTATCACCAGTTATAAATAAAATCAAGTCATCAGCATAGCATAGATGGTTGATTTTAGGTCACTTTTTGCATATAGTGAATCCTTTGTAGTTGGTCATGTTGTTCAGTTGATTGAGAGATTTAGACAGTGCTTCAACAACTATAATAAAAAGAGTCGGAGAAAGTGGATCTCCTTGTTTTACTCCTCTAGTTAACTTGAAGAAACCATATCTAGCCCCGTTTACAATGACTGAATATCAATTGTTAGAAAGATGCATGTAGAAACACTCAATTACTCCTTCTGAGAATCCAAGCTTCCTCATAACTGTTGTCAAAAATGTACATGAGAGCCTGTCATAAGCTTTGGACATGTCAAGTTTAATGACTGGGTTTCCTCCTTCATTATGCTCATTCATCCCATGAATAATCTCTTGAGTTAGTAACACATTTTCTGTAATGAGCCTTCCTCTGACAAAGCCAACCTGATTTTCAGAGATTATAGTTGGTAAAATAGAGGCGATTCTAAAAGCTAGGATCTTGAAAATAATTTTATTGGTTACATTGCATAAGCTGGTAGGCCTCAATTGAGAGAAATCTGAAGGCGTGCTAACTTTAGGTATTAAAACTAGGCATGAATGTGTAAAATATTTACTCAGGCATGCCCCATTGAAGTAAGATAGCACAAAATTGCAAATATCCTTTTTAATGATATTCCATGTAACCTGATAGAAGTGGCCGTTATAACCATCCGGACCTGCAGCACTATTCGGGTTTATGGAAAAAACTACTGCCTTAATTTCTTACCTCGGCGTCTACCTCCGCTCCTGANCTAGCACAAAGTTGCAAATATCATTTTTAATGATATTCCATGTAACTTGATAGAAGTGGCCATTATAACCATCCAGACCTGCAATTTATGAAAAAAACTACTGCCTTGATTTCTTCTTCAGTAGGAGTTTCTTGTAGCATGGTATTGTCTTCTTCTGTTACCATTGGTTCAATCCATTTCAATACTCTATCCATATCTCATTCCTCCTACCTTGTGAATATTTCTTGAAAATGATCCACTGTTGCGTTTGAGATAGCAGAATTACCTTGAATCCACTACTCTGCACTATTCTTTATCCTGTGGATTTGGATTCTTCTCCTTCTGTGCTTGATAATGCTATGAAAATATCTTGAATTGGTATCTCCATATTCAGTCTAGTTCAACTTGGCTTTTTGTTTGAGAATTGATTCCTCCATGTTTAACCATTTGATATATTCTACTTGTGCCTTATGTAAGATCTCCCTATTGGCATCTGAGTCATCATCTTTATAAGTTTACTCCAGAATTAGGGTGTCTGCCTCTAATTGTTTCACCTTTTTAAATACATTCCCAATAGTTTCTCTAGACCAAAGACTCAATTTTTTTGGAGAGAGTCTTCAGTTTCTGTTGCAGGATCCATTGAGAGTTGCCATATACCTCTATGTTCCAAGTGTCCTCAACCAGGTTTAAGAAGTCTGGTTGAGTTGTCCAAAAGTTTAAAAATTTAAAGTATTTGATAAAATCAATATGAGTGTTATTTCATTCCATGAAAATGAGGCTATGATCTGATCTTGTTCTGGCAAGATGATCTATTCTGGTTTATTGGTATAGGTCTGAACAATTCTCATTTATAAGGACTTTGTCCAGCCTTTTGCTAATTCTTCTTCTCCCTCTCCTACGTAAATTCATTTCCAGAGAATCCAGCATCAACTAATTCACAATCTTCAATACAATTTATAAAGTCTAGACTCCTCGTCAAACTATGTTGTATTCCTACTCTCTTTTCTTCCGGAGCTAGGATTGAGTTGATATCTCCAAACACAGCCCAAGGTCCATCAATTACATCATGTAGGTCTCTGAGATTGCTCCAAAGCCTTCTTCTTTTCATAGCCTTTGATTTGGCATATACTGCAGTGAGCCAGAAGTTTTGGTTGTCCCCATCCATCTTGCATTTGAAGGTGATTTGTTGTCTCTTATTAGAGATGATAGTAAAGTCAAAATTAGCTCCCCAGAAGAACCATATTTTGCTATTTTTGTTGGTTGCTGCATAGTCAAAACCCAAGGCTATTTTATATCTTTCAAGCTTGTCTGAACTTAGAAAAGGTTCTTGAAGAGCCAAAAAGTCTATCTTATATATGTTGACTAATTTCATTAGTCTTAGAGTTGCTCCCTTGGATTTCATTCCCCTTATGTTCCATATAATGACTTTAATCATTAAAAGATAGAAGGGGTTATTTCTGTCTGCTTTCGGCAGGTCTATGACCTCCCTTAGCCTTCTTTTTGTTTTGGTGACCTCTAGGTGATAGTCCCTGTTTGTTGATTATATCTTTGATTTCTTTGAGTACTAGATCTTAATCCTTTTCAGAGTCATTGTCCATGACTGTGTTGAAACTGTTTGGAACTTTCTCTTTAGAGGAATCCACAGTTTCTTCTTCATCTTCTTGTTCTGTAGTATCATCATTGCCATGAAAATGCTCTAAACTTGAGCCACGTCTCTCGTCATTATGCACTATCGCAATGGAACCTAGATCTACCATAAGATTGATACCTTTATTTTTTACGTTTGCGGTATCCATGGTGATTGGAGATTGAATATCTTCATTGTTATGCCCAACTTTACTAAGTTGGTCTTCTGGTATAGTACTAGCAGTAGCATTTTGTTTCTTCTTTTACCGAGTGATTGCCTTATCTTCTTCCTGATGCTGTTTCGTGTTGCCTTGTAGCTGAGTCTTTGTTTTGGTTTCTTTCAGGTGTTTGCCCATACTGATCTTCATCTCATTTCCTAGGACTTCTGTCACAATTTTTTCAAAATGGCTTGGCTTTTGCTTGATCCATAGCATGTTCTTCACCCTTAGTAGGCCATTAGCATTTCCTTTTTTCGTCTTTTTCCTACCTTTCTTGCTTTTCTTTGTTTCCAGATTCTTCTCTGTATTTGTAGGTTCCTTTTCTTCCTGACTATGCTTTGATACTCCCTCATTTTTTCCCCAGTTTTTTTAGTTACATTAGTAGTGTTGTCTACAATATCTACCTTAAGGTGTTGTTTTACTGTATCTAAATCCTTGTCCACATTTGTCTGCACCTTATTTGCTTAGCTTTCTTGTTTCTCCTGTTTATAACCTTCGTGAATCCCTCATTATTTTGCTTTGCAGTAGAGTTTGGAATTTTGCTAGAGCTAGCTTTGTCGTCCCTTGTTATAATTCCCTGGTTATTCCCTGTTACATCTTTTTTCCCCAGTGTATCTCTACCTCCAATTTCTGTTTGCAGTAAAACTGTATCTTTACCATTTTGATCTGCTTCAATATTTTTCGTAGCTCTCTTTTTCTCGAGAACTCTACAGTTCATCATGTTGTGCCCAAGTTTTCTACAATGTTTGCAAAATTTCGGAATGCTCTCATATTTAATTTTTTGAGTATATCCTTTTAAGGGAAATTCCTCATTCTCGGAACCTACCCATACACTATCAGGTTGAGGTTTCGTTAAATCTATTTCGACCCTGACCTTGGCCATGTTAGGTCTAGTTTTTCCCTAAGTAGCAGCATCTCATGATAATGGTGTGCCAATATTGCTAACAATTTGTTTCACATAGTGCCAATTATGCATATTAAACGGAATACCTGGGAGGATAACCCACACCGGAACAATTGGGATGTCTTCGTCTGGTTTGAAATTCGGCGATCATTTTTGTAGCCACATTTGTAATCCTTCGATTTCGATCACCCTTTTGTACGATATCGACCGGAAGTCTTCTTCATTGGTAAAGTCTATGAAAATGTTGTAGTTATCATAGACACCGATCTTAGCAGAACCCTTGATCGAAAAAAGTTCCCTGAAGGCAGACCTTATTCTTTCTATTTGTGGACGGGATTTTAAGAATCTCCTCACAATTGTTAATTTGCATTCTTCGGCCATGATTCCATAATAGTCTTTAGCTTTAAATATCACCATCGGCATCCCGTTGTGGGTGGTTTGCCATGCTATTACTGCTTCTCTTGGCTGATGAGGGGCATCGAGATGACTGTTGTGCTAGTTACTGAAGTAGCATATGTTTGATTTCCTGCAATTCCTTCAGTAGGTGGAATCGCCACTGCCAGAGGGTTCTTTTGGTTGTCAATATGCGTCGTTTGGTGTCCGTCCAACGGAGCTATGGGGTGGTGCGTATCTGGGACGCGCTAGAGAGTTATCGTTGAAGCCTAACGTATATAAATGTATGGAGAGAGTTAGCATATGTCTGGGACCCGTTAACAATATATCCCTCTTGCCGTTTACACTTCCCCAATGGATTTAGAGGACCAAGACTCTGTCATTCCTCCTTGCTCTAATAATCAACACACATTCTCCATCCTAACGAAAACTTTTCCCTAATTGATCTTGGAGCAGACTACTTCATCGTCAAGTTTTGTAGAGAAGAAAATATGCTCAAAACTTTGCACAATGGCCCCTGGTTCATTTTTGATCATTTTCTTTCTGTACAACGATGGGAACCTAATTTTGTGGCCTCAGAAGCGAAACAACTATATACAGCCGTCTGGGTAAGGTTGCCACAATTTCCAATAGAGTTTTATGATAGTCTGATACTATAAAATATAGGAAACGTGATAGGCAGACTCTTAAAAGTCGATGCATGTACCTCTACTGCAGTACGAGGAAGATATGCACGTTTGTGTGTGGAACTACCACTTAATCGACCAGTGCAGCCTTTCCTATACATAGGTACTCATAAACAATTAATTTTTTATGAAGGAGAAAATTTACTCTGCAAATCCTGCGGCATCCTAGGCCACTCAACAGAACAATGTCAACACATACAAGTTACCCGCCATGCCGACGCCAACGCTTCAATTAATTTGGAGGAAACTACTGCCTCTACCTCCTCTCTAAGATATATCCAATGGATGAATAATGGCATACTGTCAACTTCAAGAATAAGGGAAAGGGTCTGACTCACAAAAGAAACAACTCAATTCCAACAGCTCAGGAAGCAAGGACTCTTACAGGTATAACAGTTCGTATTTTCAACGCCAGCTCAGGTAAGTACCTTAACACTCAAGTTCTAAAATATAAATCTCGCGAACCAATCAATACTCATACAGCAAAAAAATATGGTATGTTGGATCAGTCCCTTGAAAAGCGGCTAACCACCCTCCTCTATCGATGGAAAACCAATTTTCCCTTCTATATGAACAACACATGGTTTTAGAAAATACCACCTACTCAAATTATAATAATAAAGATATTAATAATCTTACTAATCGAAATGATGATGATAATCTTAATAATCAACTCAATCGGCATTCACTCAGATAATGATAACCACTACTCTAATGATGACTCTAATAACCCAATGGAAAGTTTTAATCCGCAGGATCCATGTCACTCTTTCTCCTCAAACCTTCCTAATAGTACTACTAAATCCAATGGGCTACCACACATGTCCAACCAAAACACCCCAACCTCACAAATGGACAATAACTCTCAACATGTGCCTACATGCAAATCTGATGAAATCTCTGTTATAAACCTTATGCTATCCCACTCTCCAAACATGCAAGTTGATACTACTATCATCAACCTACCTCCAACTTGTCACGACCCAAACTGTAGGGCCGCGACGGGCATCTGGTGCCTTACTCAACCGAGCACCAACGTAACATATCTTTCTTGTCATACTATCATGGGTAAATAAACCGGAAAGGCCGTCATAAGATAACTAGAATTAAACATAAGAGAATACTCGACGTGGGATGACCCAACATGATATAGAAGCTTATGCATGCAATATACGGTCCTATAATACCGACATGATCACTTGTATACTCAAAACATAAGCCGACACGGCCATACAAGTATCCATATATATGACATCTATCTACAAGTCTCTACGAGTACATAAATGTCATAAAGTTTGAGATATGGCCCCGTCATACCAATCAATACATGTCCAAATCATACTGACAAGATAGGCAACTATGGAGCAAGTGGAGTGCACCAACACCTTCCGCTAAGCTAATAGCCTACTAGGAGGACTCTCAGCCTGTCTATCGGGACCTGCGGGCATGAAACGTAGCGTCCCCAGGCAAAAGGAACGTCAGTATAAATAAAGTACCTGTCATCGTTTCTTCTTGTTTCAAGTCATGTCTCCTCTTGTTTTTTTCCTTCACTTGACTATATACTCTGTCATCGTGTCATATTTTGATTTAACGTTATCACTCATATATCACATCTTACTCATGATGCTTCATTTACTTTTTTCTTATTCTCCGAATAATATTTTTGTCTATCACTTTATTCTGAAAACTTCAACAAAACGTTCTTTCACTTTTTTCTCCCCTTGCTTCATCTCACTGGCTCTTCAGAATGCCTATCATTCTCCTTTTTTTTACTCGGGGCTGGAGTCATACTAAGGTAAATATTTATCCCTTCTAGGATTCCACTGCCAATCTTCTGAAATTTCTGAAGATTCTAGAATTTACCATCTGGATGTCTCACAAGGAGATCTATTACCATATTTGCACTATCTTCGGAAATATTAGCTAATGATAACAATCCATCCACCATTTTTGGGTTATTCTAACCCCAGCTGGATTTCGATATCATATCCTTCTCTTAAACTATATCTGCTGGCTCCATAGGGCATAATTAAGATGAGTGTGGCCAATTGTATATAACTCTATTACTGTTGAAAGTAACTCATAATGCTTGTATTTCTCTGTCTGAATTGCAAATACTGATAATCTTCATTAACTAGGTACCTCGTGCCCTTCTTATTCTTGCTTATTTTACTTGCCGAAACTTGTATCTACCTTTTGATTCTCTTATTTCTTTTTACGATATGAGTGGATAGATATTCTTGCCTTAGGACTCCTTATTAAGAAGCTTACATATCTTAGTACCCACATGATCTGCTGAAGACCTCACATTTACTCATCATAAGCATGATGCAATATCGAGTTTCTCTGACTTAACTCTTCCACAACTACATTCAATCTCTTACCAACTATCTTTCTTGATATAGGTATCGTTGTATTATAAATAAAATAAAATTTAGGAGTTTGAATTCTTACAACTGAGCTCTACCACACGATCTAGAGTAAGAAGAAAAAGTGACAGTCCTAAATGCCCTGTAGCCTCCTACTTATAAGTGTGGTGCACAACACACTCATAAACAAGACTCTACTAGACACAACTTGTAGACTCTCTAGGACAGAACTACTCTGATACCACTTTTTGTCACGAACCAAACTGTAGGGCCGCGACGGGCACCCGGTGCCTTACTCAACCGAGTACCAACGTAACATATCTTTCTTATCATACTATCATGGGTAAATGAACCGGAAAGGCCATCATGAGATAACTAGAATTAAAATAAGAGAATAATCGACATGGGATGACCCAACATGATATAGAAGCTTATGGATGCGACATACGGGCCTATAAGGCCGACATAATTATTTGTATACTCAAAACATAGGACAACAAGGCCATATAAGTATTCATATACATGACATCTATCTACAAGCCTCTACGAGTATATAAATGTCATAAAGTTCGAGATATGGCCCCGCCATACCAATCAATACATGTCCAAATCATACTGACCAGATAGGCAGCTCGGGAGCAAGTGAAGTGCATCAATACTTTCCACTGAGCTGATAGCCTACTAGGAGGACTCTCAGCCTGTCTATCGGGACCTGCGGGCATGAAACGCAGCATCTCCAGGCAAAAGGGACGTCAGTACAAATAAAGTACCGAGTATGTAAGGCATGGCAGTAGTATATAAAAAATATGAAAGAAACATGGAGTAAAGAACTCAACCTGTAATTCTGAATAGCTCTGTGAATCATGAAAAATTTATAATGTCATGCATGTGCGTATAAATGCCATACCATGCATAGGTATATGTGTACATAACATCATAAAGCCTCTGAGGCATCCCATCATATCATCTCAGTCTCTGTGGGCGAAATCATAAACGTATACCAGCTGATCAGGTAGTGGTGGTGCGTATATAATTTCATAACCTTTCGCCATATCCCATATACATATAATATACGTATATATAACGCCATCTGGTCATGGGTCAATATACATATATAAATGAATGAAATGCATAATGAAGTAAGTCAATAAGATCTCTCGGATAAACTTTATCAACTTACATATTTTTTTGAGACCCATAAACAGAAGATATAATAATAAGACACATGGGGAATCAACAACATAGTCACTCCTAGTGCTTCTATGAATAGAGACATTTATGAAAGTTGCGCATTTGCTCCTTTCGTTTGTATCGTATGGATCATGCCAAAAGAAAAAAAGGGATAGCCTTAACATACCTTAACTCCATTGAGTCCTTAATACCTTCCAAGAAATTCTTCAAACAACTCAACTCAATCTACCATAGCATAAGGAGATTCAAAATCAGTGTTGTGTAAAGGCTAAGTCCGCAACTTAAACTAGTAGCTCGTTTACATAAATTTAGGCAGCATCTCCCCTGTAACAAGAGCCTCCTCCAATACCATATACCAATGACCAGAGAAATCCAGCAATACATAATTATCAATAACAAGACACCATGTAACAACAACAAGGTACAACTATTTCACGACGAGCTACAAGCCCAATTGGAATCCGTATACCCCATATCAGCTCTTATAGACTTCTTACTTTAACTTTCTAGTATCATTAACATGATAATGAAGTCATTCATCAATGATTCCAGTATTATACCATATATTTATAACAAAGAAAATAATCCACAACTCCAATTATCCTCAATTAGCAACTTTATTCACTAGTCCATGTCTAGTCCATCCATTTAACTTAATCAATGTCAAGATAACCTTAAGGAGATGAAAGAACACAATATACATACCTCCTACAGTAGCTTCAAATCGAAATCTAAGTTATATTTAGCTTATAACAACCCTCAGTGGCAATACAACACCATAGAGGTGACTTAAGCTAATCTTCACTTCCAATCTCAAGTTTTATATGCTTCTTTCACCAATTCACTTGATAAACATATAGACATGCATAACAACATAAACCATATCATAATAAAGTTATTTTCTCCATTTTTCAGCCATTTATAGTTCATGGAAACAACATTTCCAAAACAGTCCATTAAAACCCATAACATCTCAAACTATTTCAAGTCTCCTCTTGTAGTAATTTGCTCAAATAATGCAACCAACACACAAACAACTTCAAGTACATATAGTAGG